TTAATGTTGTATTCTTTCCTTTATCCTCTCCTGCTTAGCTTACAGTGCTGCAAAATTACAGGTTGGAACTGTGAAGTTCCCCTCACTTTTTTAATCTCTCATATTCTACTATCTGTCCAACTAAGAACAATTACAAAACATTTTATTCTGAGTTACATTTGATTACCTATGAATATCTTCAACTAGATTTTTTAATGATTTGCATTTTATGGTAAAAACCACAGGTATTATTTTTTATTATTTTGTTTTAAACCCTTTGTTAAAATATGCAACATTCTCAGTTTGGTAATATTTTTAGTTTCAGATAGATTTTAACACAAAATTATGTTCTTTCGGCATACAAGAGACTCATTGCTGAAGTAATCTAAAGCAGAGTTTCTCTCAAGTTGTTGAAGAAGGGTATTTACCACAAACAAGATTTTTCAAAGCAGGTAACTGGAGGCCAGCTACGTACAGCTAATTGCTCTACTTTAGAAAAAGCAGAATGATCCACAATTTTTGTGCATCGTGCTTATTTAGAACCGTCCAATTTGACTAGATGGACTGGTTTAGCTTGCATCTGTAATTCCATTCATAACATTGTTCTGGAAGTTCACAAGTTAAGAATCTTGTATATAATCCTTGTTTGTTATAAAAGGAATGTGGTCTGCTTGTGCTTCGGCATGCTGTTTCTCAAATATTTCTTTGTATCCCTCTCAGCATCTTATTCTTTCATTTGTCACAGGGGCATGCCAGAGCGCTTGTATTTGCCATCTTTCATAGCTCTTTCAAATGTATCAGAGATACTAAGACTATTTTGCCATTAACCCTTGGGTGCTAGATGTCAGTTTACTGTTGTTGGCAGACTTCGCTTTCTACCAGCACTTGAAAATCTTGACACTTGGTCTTATTCTGAACTGGATCTGATGTAAGCTGCTCCCCTCTTCACTTTGCATCCTAAGACTAATAGTGCAAAATATGTTCTATGTACAAGTAGAAATAAAATTAACATGCCATATGTGTTTGTAGATCTTTTCCTTCGTGAGATGGTTTTGAAGGAAATGTAACAAAAAAATTCTGGCTTTGACAAACCATAGAAACTCCAGAGGGGATGCAGCAACAGCTGTTCTGGCACCTTTCAGTGGGTGCCACATGCTCACCCTACCCACCCTACAAGCTCTGCTGTCACTCTACATCTTTCTGTGTGTGCAGAGGGTGAGGAGGGAGAGGAATGGCAGAACATGATCTAGAGCCTGCAAACTCTTACTCACATGAATAGCTCTTCCTAATGCAAGCAGTCCTGTTGGTCTCAATACTCTTCCTGTGAGCTGAGATTACTCATGTAGTAAGGGTTTACAGGATCTAACTGAAAACTGGGTAATTAATTTTAATTATGGTTCTAAAATTTATAAAGCACTCTCAAGAAGCTTTTAGTAAAATTTGCATGAAAGAACCACCCCAGCAGTACTTTGTTTCCTAGGCAATGAAGTTGTAGGTAAGAAATGAAGTGGATACAGCGTGTGTGTGTGTGTGTGTGTGTGTGTGTGTGTCTGTCTCTGCATAAATCTATATATAAAAAACAATCTTTTGTTTAGAGATTAATTACTCATTTCGTTTCACTTTAAACTTTAATCTGTCAAATTTGTCTTTTATTCAGTGCCTTTGTAAAATATCTAGATGCTGTATTATACAATCACTAAGCCTCTCTTAATCTTGCAAACTCTCCATCAGTATGTGATAGGAATTAATTCTTTGGGTTGATTTATGTTCTGCTTCTTAAAAAATGTTTTGTCCTTCTCTAGAAACTGTAACTGTACAAGGAGTGAACAGGAGACCGATGATGTCATCATTATGGCCTAATAGTAATCAATATTCTAGTAATGCTTCTCTCTGAGACTTACTTTTGCTAATTCTCATGTCTGCTGTGGTTTGTGTTTCATTTGCATCACAGCTAAAAATGTTAATTGTGCTTGCAGCCATAAAGATACTTCAATATCTATGATGTTGTAGTGGTTTTTTAAACAATGAAAGCTCAGTGCATTTGAAAGTAGGTAAAGCATCTTTTAATAATCATGGGACAATTAATAATCATCACTTAAATATTATTATATCAATTTAAATATACTATCTAAAAATTAATATTGAATGTTGTGTTGAATACCAGCAGCTGTTTGTTGGGTATTAAATTAATTTATGTCACAATTTTGTGTGCTATAGATTTTCCTTTTAGTGTTCCATCAGTAACATTGATCATAGCTTTAACATTGTTGGAAATCCTATCCAGAATTCTGGCCTAACCTAAATTAATATTTTAATCTCAAATTCAAAAAATAAAGTTCTTCAATTTGGGATATTCTCCCCAGATCCCTTTCTTTGGAGTTACCATGTGTGTCATGTGAAGGACATGGAGCCATTGAAATTCAAGTTTTAGGTAGGTAATAATTTACACTGGCGCATGTATTGATTGACATATATCTCCTTGCATATGCATCTGTATTGCACACCTCTTAGTGCTTGTCTTCCTTATAGAACATGTAGGATCTGCTGTCAATGTGACTTGATGTAACACTGTCATATTTTAGTGGGTATTTGCTGTGGCTAAATGTTAAGAGTAAGAAAAAGCCTTCAGGTTCTAAAAATTCTACTTCCTATTAAGACAGATGGTTCTGATTCAGCTCTAATGTAAGCCAACAGAACTTCAGCAAAAGTCAGGCTGAATTAAGCTCTGTGTCTGTCATACTCTGACAGACTATCCTGAATAATCCAGTCTGTGTGGATCAGCAGAAGAGCCTCAGTCTTGCTCTTATTTGCTTTGCATTATTACTCTTACTTACTGGCTTGAAGACAGAACCACTTCTAGGTTTCAAAAGCCCCTAGAACTAAGAAGCCATGCAGGGCTTTTGTCAAAGGAGAAGCTGAGCATTCTCTGCTTCAGCTGTTACGTCTTTCCCTCATCATCCCAGAGCATCGCTTAGAAGTACAGACCAAATTCAGTTAAGAGACTCTTCTTCTCAACGAATATCCCTTAGAACGAGCATTAACAAATCACCTTCAATTTCATTTTGTTTAGGGATCCCACTCACAAATTATTTAAGAAAAATTATTTTCCTAAATTTAGGCACTTTGAAGCCTGGCCTGCTAGTGTCTGCAAAGACAGCTTCATACTCTTAATAGTAACAGAGCTAAATGGAATCTCAGAAAGTTAAGAGATTGTATATCAGGACGAGCCTTAATTACAAACAAGACAAGGAGATGAATACATCCCATGCATGCTCTGCAACTAATCAGCTAGTCTTATATTCCTCTGTGTCAAAGGAAAAAACAATTTACCCTATGTATACATATTCTAACTGAGGAGAACACCACTGTGCTCGCATTTCCTCCCTACTGCTGGTTTAGGGCCATATCCATTATAAGGACATTCCTTCACAGGATTGGATTTTGGAACTGAATCAGATGCAAGACCTATTTTTTCAGTCCATACAGCAGTGTCTTCTGGTCCTATGTGCTTACTTGTTTCCTTACTGTCATCCCAATGGCCTATAAAGTCAGTCAGCTGCAAGACCTGCTGAATGACGTATGGCTTAGCCTTTCATAAGAATAAATTATTTCCTCCCAAAAGTAGATTTTGGATTTACCAAAATCAGTCCTTTCCTATTTGTCTTTTTACTCAGATACTGGGCACCCAGGGGAGATTATATTATCATTTAAAAAAAAAAAGACACCAGAACATGTTGTTGCTTAAGAGTCTAAATTTAGGATATCAGAATTCTATGTTGTCTGTGGGAATGAATCAAAGAGCCATCCATTTTCAGAGTCGATGTAGATGGCTAATCTGTATATTTTTGTGACTTCTCTGGAGGCAAACGTATTCTGGAGAGTCTAATATCATACATTAACAGCAAAGAGACTTCCATAGATTGTCCAAATTCACTTCATTTTCCATGTGGCTTGCATTTCGTGTCTTTCTCCCCCTTCTCCTCAATTCCTTCCTTCCTATTCAGAATCTCCAAAGAGTAGGAATCTATGGAGGACAATCCCAAATTAAGGAGCACAATAGGTTATTTACCAGTAACAGAAGTTCTCCTATTGGCTCATTTCCCCCACATATACATTCTACCCCACCTGCCTTTCCAGTGGAACTGAAGGAGGGTGTGCTATTGATACACTCGTACTCTGGAGGTAAAATGACATTCAATGCATGCGCTAGTGCATATGTGTACTTACTTGAAATTTGACAACTTCAACAGCTCTGTAATGTCTAAGGTGGTGCTCTTTTATATGCCTAAAGAAAATGTGGTTCTGTGGAAGAAATAACCCAATAAAAGAAATTCAGTTACTGGTAAGTCACACAGTTTTTTTTTATTTAAGATGCTGAGCCACAATTACAGTGATTCCTGATCACCTCATTAATCAGTTGAACAGTTGAAGTGGCCATCTACTTATTTTGTGCACATGATTATTATAATTAACAAACTAATATTTTATACCGAAGAGAGAAACTATTAAACCAATTCCAGGAAATTAATTCCTAACTTTTGTTATGTAAGCATAATATATAGCTTTTTTTTTTTTTTTTTTTTTTAAGATTGTGCTGAGTTTCAAATTCTAACTCAGGATGTGTGAGAACACTGCATCTGCTAGGCTCAAAATTTCACCAATATTTTTGAGCTGTTTGTAAAATCTGTTGCAATTCTTTTTGGTCTTCATTCTCCAACTGATTTCAGTTGTGCAGGATCTAATTAAAGAGAAACATAATTGACTTCAGTGATCTTTGGATCAAGTCCTTTAGAGGAGTCCACTAAAAATTAGCTAAGTGTCTTAGAAATCAGGGAAATTGCCAATTAGCATATGGTGTGTCCATGTTTACTTCATTCTGTTCATTTGTGAAACAAACATGTTTTTCTCTTCTTTGCAGTGGGATAAAATGTTTTTAACAGAAAATATTGTTACAAATAATCAGCTTTTAATGTAAAAAATTCTTGTTTCTTCTTATCTTTCATAAAGCATCTTTCTATTTGCAGACATCTAGGAATAATAACTTCCTTACTTGTAAATACTGTAAACTTCCATTCTTGGAAAGGGATTTGATTGCAATGGCTTTAAAGGTCTTTTTCCCAACCTTCCATTTTTTCTTTATTAATCTTTCTTTTTTCTCAAGCTCCTCATAGTCCACATTGTGACTTCATGTGTTTTTATAGCTTTTCATGTATATTTCAATGCCTATGTATATTCATTCTTTCTTCCCATGCCCATTTTAACAGAAAGTGCTGAATAGAAATATAGGCCTGATTCCAATCTCAGATTAAACAAATTTATACCAATGTAACTCTGTTGACTTCAGTTGAATTTACTTGTGATATACGCTGGTGGAACATGTTGGCTCAAAATGAAGCCTCGTATATATTTGGAGTCTCCTGAACTGTGTGATCTCATATAATTTTGTTTATTCAACTAAATTATTACAGTCCTACTCCTGCTCTAGGAGATGCATACGAAACTTTTAGTAATTGGACATGAAGGGCATGTTCCCTGGCCAGATCAAGAGGGAATTTTGGGAAGTTTACCACATAACTAGATAAAGGATACGTTTTTGGGTTTATAGCCCATGGCTGTATCAGCCTTAAAACAGAAGAGTAGATGGCATAAGTATTTTAATTTTTCTAAGCTTAGAAGTTGTTTGTGTGCGACATTTTAATGATTTTTCCAGCATTAGTGTGCAAAATGTGTTTGTGTTTCAAAGGATACCAGTAACGCAAACAGAACTGCTAACTTGTCATTATATTTTCTTTTTGTACAGATACCCTGCAATCTCAGCTTATCAATATGGGTGTTATCCCTACATTAGTGAAATTGTTGGGCATTCATTGCCAAAATGCAGCTCTCACGGAAATGTGCCTTGTTGCATTTGGCAATTTAGCAGAACTTGGTAAGTCCAGGAGCATAATTTAAAACTACACACACATTGTTTAACAAATATTTTTTTAAGATTAAACAAAATTAATTTTAACTCAATTTTTCAGTCTTCTTCATGTATGCAAAATAAAAAGCCAGGGAGCTCTGATTATGGTCTCTTTAGAATTTATAGCTTATCGGCCTTCTTAAACTAACCAAAATTCCTCCTCGTACTTAATGCAACTAACATTTTATGTTAAATGTATTTGATATAAGTATGTGTGTCTTAAATTATTTAGATTTCTCTCCTTGAATATTGTTACGTAGTGTGAGCCTGTGGCTAAGGGCCAAATTCAGTCCCTGTTTAATTCCACTTTAAGGCAGAGATGAATTTGGCTCAAGGAAACAGATTCATCAAATGGGAATGGGGACAGACTTGATTCATAATTTGTGTCTCAGAAATTTCATTGAAGATTCAATAGCATTAAAATGTCCTAGGCTAGACACTTGCATTTATAAATCATTACAAATGATAAAAAGGGGATATAAGCTTAGCAGCTGAAATCACAACTGCATTTTAGAAAATGTAAAATTTGATCAAAGCACATTTTGGTCAACAGTGGGGCCCCAATTCTGCTCTGATTCTCCTGTCTAGTACCATTGCTTTGAATCATGTTTCCATTCAAGTCAATGGTAAAACTCTCATTGATTTCAGTAGAACATGAATTGCCTGAAGAATCTGCATTTATGCCACTCTTTAGACATATGAAGATACAGATCAGTGGACAGAGGGTATGTCTACACTAGAAAGTTAGTTCGAACTAACGGACGTTAGTTCGAACTAACTTTCCTATGCGCTACACTAGCGCTCCGCTAGTTCGAATTTGAATCGAACTAGCGGAGCGCTTAGTTCGAACTAGGTAAACCTCATTTTACGAGGACTAACGCCTAGTTCGAACTAGCTAGTTCGAACTAAGGGCTGTGTAGCCCTTTAGTTCGAACTAGGGGGAGGCTAAGGCTTCCCAGGTTTCCCTGGTGGCCACTCTGGCCAACACCAGGGAAACTCTATGCCCCCCTCCCGGCCCCGGACCCCTTAAAGGGGCACGGGCTGGCTACGGTGCCCGTGCCAGGTGCAAGCCTGCCAGCACCCAGCTAGCAGACCCTACATAATGGACCTTGTCCACGATCTCTGCACTAGGCACAGGAAAGTGGCCGTCTAGGGCAGGAGAGCTGCCAGCCTGGCCACCCAGGACCAGGTGTGCATGAAAATCAAGGGGGTCCACTGAGACCCCCGACACTGAGCCCTGAGCTTACAATGGCCGTACTGGGTCAGACCAAAGGTCCATCTAGCCCAGTAGCCTGTCTGCCAACAGCGGCCAACCCTAGGGACCCTGGAGGGGATGGACCGAAGACAGTGATCAAGCCATTTGTCTCGTGCCATCCCTCTCCAGCCTTCCACAAACTTTGGGCAGGGACACCACTCCTACCCTCTGGCTAATAGGACTCCATGGACCCAACCTCCATGACTTGATCTCACTTCCCTTTAAACTCTGTTCTAGTTGTAGCCTTCACAGCCTCCTGCAGCAAGGAGTTCCACAGGTTAACTATTTGCTTTGTCAAGAACAACTTTCTCTTACTAGTTTCAAGCCTGCTACCCATTCCTTTCCTTTGGTGTCCTCTAGTCCTTCTTTATGGGAACTCATGAAGAACTTTTCTGAATGCACCCTCTCCACCCAACCCCTGCTTTTAGAGACCTCTATCCTGTCCCCCCTCCGTCTCCTCTTTTCTAAGCTGAACAGTCCCAGTCTCTGTAGCCTCTCTTCATCTGGGACCTGTTCCCAACCCCTGATCATGTTAGTTGCCCTCCCCTCTCCCAGCCTTTCTCTTCCCCTCTCCCACCTCCTTTTCCCAGTCTCCCCCAGTTTTTTTCAATAAAGACAGAGTCAATGTTGGAAGAAACGTTATCTTTATTTTGTACATCAATAAGAAGGGGGGCTAGGGAAGGGTAAGTGGAAGGAGGTGAGGGAGGAATGGGGTACGAGCCCCCGATGGGGAGGACTGGGCTGGCTCTGCGGGCTTCTGGGGGTGGAAGCTCTCCTGCAGCCCCCCAATTACTCCCTCTCCCCAGATGGCAGCCTGCGGCAAGTGCAGCCGGGCTGATGGCCGAGTGGTGTGATGTGCCCAGTGTGGGCACTCAGGGCACTCCAAGCCAGAACTTCTTTGCAAGCGGGGCACCCCTTAGAACTGTGTGTCCGGGGTGGGGGTCGGGACCCTTTAAGCGCAGCCCTCGGCTAGCCTGAGACAGTATCTCCATGCTCTAAGTCCTCCTTTTATGCCCTGCCGGCACTGCTTCCGGCCATCCTTAAGCCCTGTTCAGAGTCCACTCAATGTGGACTTACTAGTTCGAACTAGCAAAACGCTAGTTCGAACTAGTTTTTAGTTCTAGATGCGTTAGTTCGAACTAGCTTAGTTCGAATTAACTAATTCGAACTAAGTTAGTTCGAACTAGCGCTGTAGTGTAGACGTACCCAGAGCTAGCAGAGAAGTAGGTGCTTTCTTTTCCCCAGATATTAATTGTGGAGTCAGGTTTTGATCAAAATTAAATGGATATAAATCCAGAATAATATAATTGGCTTCAGTAGAGTTATACCAAATTTACAGTAGTGTAGCTAAGGTAAAAATCTAGCTTGTCCCTTTAAAAATACTAAGATTCAAATCCATTGCAGAAACTGCTCGGGATTAGGGATGTAAGTGACTAGTTGACTAGGCAATAAACATATGCTTATTGGATAGTCAACTAGTAACTCGACTAGTCTTTCCCCCCCTCCCCCATGCTACCTCTATTAGCTTTCAGGAGGAATAATAGTAGTTCAAAGTAGGAGCTTTAATTCGAACTACCTAGTCCGTGCCGCGTGTAGCCACGGGCAGGTAGTTCGAACTACGGGCATTTAAAAATGGCGCCCGCCTGGGAACATGCAAATGAAGCCCTGGATATTTAAATCCCGGGCTTCATTTGCAAGTTCGAATGCCTACATTAGCCACCCTAGTTCGAACTAGGGTGGCAGAGTAGACATACCCTTAGAGAGAGGAAACAAGGGGGGAGGAGCGGGAGCCGGTGCAGCAGGAGCCGGCTTAAAAGCCAGTCCCACCCATAGTACCATTTCTGTGGGCGAGGAGCAGGGGTGCAGCAGGGAACTGGTGGTGCTTCTGCCTTTGAAATGTAGCAAGAGAGGGGCTCTTGCTACATTTCAAAAACAAAATGCGCGTGGGGAGCACAGAGCCAGCCGGGAACTCAAGCAGTTCCCCGCTGGCCCTGTGCTCCCTCCTTTTGAAATGTACAAGAAGTTTTTGTACAGTTCAAAGCAGGGAGCGCAGGGCCAGCGGGGGACTGCCTGAGTCCCCCACTAGGCCCTGCTCCCTGCGGCGTTTCTGCCTTTGAAACGCAGCAAGAGCTAGCAAGGCTCTTAGAATCATAGAACTGGAAGAGACCTCAGAAGGTCATCAAGTCCAGCCCCCTGCTCTAGCCAGTACCAATTCCAACTAAATCAACCTGGCCAGGGCTTTGTCAAGCTGAGACTTAAACACCTCTAGGGATGGAGACTCCACTACTGCCCCAGGTAACCCATTCCAGTGCTTCACCACCCTCCTAGTGAAATAGTTTTTCCTAAAAAATCACTGCTCTTGCTACATTTCAAAGGCCCTTATCAACTATTTGATTAGTTGTTTAGTCTAAATTTAACATCCTTACTCTGGACCCAGGCATTTTAAGAGGAAAAAGGATATAATCTGCATGGTGAAGCCCAGATCTGCACAGCACTCCCAAAATCTAGGACAACGGTGGGCTAATTAGAGCAACCTTAAGGCTCCTGAGAATTATCCCACCTGCCATTGGCCTTAAGAGGCCATTATAGTAGCTGGGGATTGCCAGGACTCTGGTCAACACCAGCCACGTTCCCTGTACGAGTAACCATCATGCAGGCAGAGGGTAGCATCTCTGTGTTGACTCTACACTACTGGGTGTTCCTCCTGTGGCTAGCTATGGCACCTTTGGAACTGCTGTGAGTAGGTGATGGGGTATAAAGCAGACATAGAACAGGAAAGAATCTGACCTTGCGCCTTGATATTCCAAAGTAAATGCTATCAGCATGCAACCATGTAAATATTAATGATCTCCATATCACCCTTTATCTCTGCCATAGAAAATTCAGTACATGATGTATAATTTTTCGTGTTGGTCTGAAGGCAAAGCCTTAATTTATATCTTTGTAATTTTACTGTTGCTATGGATACTTTTATAATATGCTGGTACAAAGTTTTAATAGCCTTGAATATAATTAATAATTCAGGTCAGTACATTTATCTTAAAGTCTTTGACATTTTTCTTTTCCGTTAGTGACAAGTGTAAGTATTAAAATGTATTGTTCTTGTCTGTGAGGAGCAGTTAGCCCAATTAATCATTGCGCTGAATAAACCTGGTAATAAAGACTAGCGAAAAGTTTGATTTGTTTTGTTTACACTTGATTTCCCCTTTTTATTTCACAGAATCAAGCAAAGAGCAGTTTGCCTACACAAACATTGCGGAGGAGATTGTAAAACTATTTAAGAAACAAATAGAACATGACAAAAAAGAGATGATTTTTGAAGTTTTGGCTCCTCTGGCAGAAAATGGTGAGAAGTTGATCATCTTTTATTATCATACAGCCATTTTAGTTTTTTCCTTGTTTGTACACCACCTGTTCATATGACTGCTAACTTGACAGTAATTATTTGACACTTTACCTTGCTCAGTGATTTAACCTTTCCTGTTGAAGCCATGTTAGGTGAGCCATCTGAAAGTAATTGGAAATGAAGGGTAATGTGAATATTGCCTAGTGGCCTAAGCATATACCAACTCCAGGGACCTCTAACATCAACTCCTTCTGTGTTTTTTTTTTTTTTTGTCTCTGTTTCTCTGTATTTCAAACTGCAATATTACCAACTTTAATAATACCAACTTTTGTATGTTACAGGGCTTTATGGGGATTATTTAGGTTTGTGAAATGATTTGAATAGCAAAAAAGTCCTATAATGGCTTTATACTAGGGGTGGGGAACCTAAGACCCAGGGACCAGATGTGGCCCCCAATTTGCCTGGATCTGGCCCCCGAAGCTCAGGTCTCCCGCACAGCATTTAGCAGCCTGCACTGGCACTCCAGCTGTCCCCCCACAGGGCTGGAGCACACAGAATCTACTAGCGTAGCCTCCCTCCCCCCCAGCACTGATATGTGAGAGGAACGTGGGGAATGTCTTTCTGCTTCTCAGTTGGGTGCCACACCAGTGAGATTTTGCTTGGTTTTTTTTTGCTTTTCACTTGTGTGTGACCCCTGATTGATTTTCTGTGGGCCCTGATCCAAAAAAAGTTTCCCAACCCCTGCTTTATGAATATAACAGCATATAATTACATGTTAGAATATACAGTATTATTGTCATACTTATTTTAATTATTAGATAAAACTATAAATATCAAGTTCCGGTTACTATTAAGTAACTATTTAACGTGTGGCATTCTTTCAGAGCGTCATCCTCTTGGCTTTACTCTTAGCCATCTTCTTTTTGGTTGAGGAGGTTTGGGTGAGACTCCTTTGGAAGCCTGTTAATTGTGACCCTTTCAGTTAGCAGAAAGGATTTCTCTAAGCAGCATAAAGGGATGCCATTTCCCTCCTCAATGGCTACACGAGTTTCTTTCATAATTGTGCAACACTTGAGGAATGAAAGGACTAATAATCAAACTCAGAACCCAGGCCCTATAGCTCATTACAACACCAATAGGTGATTTCCCTTTTTCCCCCCATTCAAAACAACTGACATTTTGGTCATATTTATTATCAATCAAATATAAGGATATATAAATTGTATAGCCAAGGATCAGTGTAGTCAATGAGATATAAAGTGAGGCAATGAGTGTTCGGCAGCATCATAAATTTAATAATACAAATCTTCCTTGCTGCAGATTAATCCCATTATTCCTTGTCCTACCTCTAGCAGACATGGAGTAAAATTAATCACCATCCTCTTTATAACAGCTATTAACACATTTGAAGACTTATCAGTCCCCTTCAGTCCTCTTATCCAGATTATCTAGTTTTTTAACCTTTCTTCATAAGTCAATTTTTTGAACTTTTTATCATTTTTCTCTCTCATCTGCAGTCTCTTCAGTTTGTCCACAGCTTTCCTAAAGTGTGGCACCCCAAACTGGACACAGTATACCAGATGAGGCCTCACCAGTGCTGAGCAGAATGGAACAGTTACCTCTCATGCCTTAACACACCCCAGAATTTTAGCCTTTTTAGTAACTACCTCACGCTGTTGATTCATATTCACTTTGGTTATGTCTAGACTACATGGCTCCGTTGATGGAACCATGTAAGCTAGTTTACCCAGCATAGGCAAAGACGCAGGGATTTAAATAAACCCCACTTCATTAAAATAAACATAGCCGCTACCGATCAGCTGATCTAGCACAGCGCAGCCGTCTAGACACGGATCTGTCAGCTGGGGAAGCCTTTGCCGATCGATCTCTTATGCCTCGTGAAACGAGGTTTACAGGATCGGTCAACAAAGGCTTCCCCAGCCGACTGATCCACGTCTAGACTGCAGCGCTGTGCCGGATCAGCTGATTGTCGGCACAGTGTGGCAGCATGTTTATTTTAATGAAGCGGAGATTATTTAAATCCCCGCTTCTTTTCCTATGCCAGGTAAACTAGTTTACATGGCTCTATTGACGGAGCCATGTAATCTAGACATAACCTTTGTGATCCACTATTACCCTTATTATATTCTTTTCAGCAGTACTACTGCCTAGCCTGTTACTCTCCATTTTGCTGTCGTGCATTTGATGTTTTCTTCTTAAGCATATATTTTGCATTTTATCTCTATTGAATTTTATCTTTTTTATCTCAGGCCAATTCTATGATTTGTCAAAGCCATTTTGAATGTTAATGCTGTCCTTCAAAGTGCTTCCAATTCCTCCCAGCTTGGAAACATCTGCAGATTTTATAACCATACTTTTATTCCATTATCCCTGTCAATGAAAATATTGACTAGTACCAGGCCCAAAACAGCCCCTCTGGGACCTCACTAGGCATCTCCCGCTATTGGACAGCAAACCATCAATAAGTAGTCCTTCAATCAGTTTTGAACTCACTTCATAGTAATTTCATCTTGACCACATTTCCCTAGTTTGCTTGTGAGTATGATACATGGGACAGTGTCAAAAACTTTAGTAAACTCAAATTATATCATGTCTACAGCTCTCCCCCTCCCACCATCTCATAAGCCAGTATCCTTGTTGAAGAAGGAAATGAAGTTGATTTGGCAAAAAATTGTTCTGTATAAATCCATGTTGATTACTACTTTATTAGCACCTATTATCCTCTAGATCAGGGGTTCCCAACCTGGGGTACGTGTACCCCCAGGGGGTACGAGAAGCTTGTCAAGGAGGTACGGGGAATATTTGGTAAATAACTAGATTATCCTAATTGAAATATTCCAGAAGTAGTAGTGTTAGTGAAAAAAGTTGTGGATTCTAGAGTCTAGAATTTATTTCCTTTCATATTGAATAGGGGCTACGGTAAGGTTTACTAAAAGCCAAGGGAGTATGGGGACTGAAAAAGGTTGGGAACCCCTGTTCTAGATGCTTACAGACTGATTGCTTAGTAATTTGTTTCAGTATTTTTTCAGGTACCAAACTAACTATAATTTCCCTGGTCTTCATCTTCCCTCCACCCCACCTTTTAAAAGATGGGTCCTGTGTTTGCCCATCTCCAGTCCTCTGGGATCTTACCCATTTACCAGGATATCTAAAGGACAGTCATAACACACAGTCCTGAGAATACTTCAGCTAGTTCCTTAAAGTTCCTAGGGTTCACTTCATTAGATCGTGCTGACTTGATTACATCTGACTAGCAAATTACAAAAATATTTAGATATTTTCCTATTTTGGTTTTGTGTTCCTTCCCCCTTGTCATTAGTAGTCATTATTTTAACACACTAATCTCAGGGGATGGGAGTTCAAATTCTATTTTGGTTGTAAATGAAAAAGAGTTGCTCAGAATCATCTTACTCCCATCTGAACATGCTTGCATCTTTAGAAAAATTCAGCACAGTTTGTATGATTTAACATCTATGCTTGAGAGGAGCCTTAGAATGAAGTAAAGTACAGTATAAGGTGGAGTAGATTAGGACTGAGCTGTGACGTAGACTTGTGTTTGGAGAATCACTCAGTATCTGCTCACTCCATGCATAGCTCTAACCAGTGCTACTATTCATGAGTGCCAGGTTTAGGCCTGCATACCTTTTCATTTTGAAAGGAATAAAATCTTGAGAGAATTCTATGTTCTTTTCTGTATTTGCAGACAAATTCTTCCCTAGATTATGCCCTGTTTACTAGTGGGTTTCAGAGGATGTAAATAAAAGCAAAATTTGGGTCTTTATTTTCAAAACATAAGAAATGGACATTTTTGCTTGAGACTCTTTTGTTATAGACTGTGATTGAAAAAGGTTCTTGCCTTTTTCACCTTAAAAATGTGTATTCTGGCAGTGACTATTACTGAATAATGTACAGCTAGGCTACGTCTACACTGGCATGATTTTCCGAAAATGCTTTTAACGGAAAAGTTTTCCGTTAAAAGCATTTTCGGCAAAGCACGTCTAGATTGGCAGGATGCTTTTCCGCAAAAGCACTTTTTGCAGAAAAGCGTCCGTGGCCAATTTAGACGCGGTTTTCCACAAAAAAGCCCCGATCGCCATTTTTGCAGAAAACAGTTCTGCGCTGTTTACACTGGCCCTCTTGCGCAAATGATTTGCACAAGAGGGCTTTTGCCCGAACGGGAGCAGCACAGTATTTCCGCAAAAACACTGACGATCTTACATGAGATCGTCAGTGTTCTTGCGGAAATTCAAATGGCCAGTGTAGACAGCTGCCAAGTTTTGCGGAAAAACTTGCCAGTCTAGACACAGCCCTAGAGTACAAAAAAGAGAGAGTAATGAAATATCTGCATTCCTATCCTGTCCTGTTCTGTCTAAAAGCAGAATTTGGTCTGCTATTTTCATACATTATATATGTAACTCAGATAAATTCGTTTTTGCTCAAATGTTTTGCCATCGCAGTAAGACAGAGCAAGCTCTGTGCTGCTGAAAACAACATCCCTTTCTGCATGTTAGGAAGAAGCGTGCTAAGCATTATGCCCAGCACTGTTAATTCAGGACATGCTGATGTCTGTCACAACTGTGATTCTTCCATCCTTGTATTGCTTAGCCACATCTTACATGTGGCAGTGGGTAGTATGTCAATGGGTTGAAACATTTACATGAAGAACATACATAGTCAACCCAATTTTTTAAAGTCCCAGAACAGCAATTTCTAATTCTAAATCACAACACACCTGCCACCTCATCCTCTGTATCCACGGAAACGCCCTACTTTTTACAGTAGCTCAGTACAAAATTACCTCTTTAAAAAACTCCCAGCTGAACATTTCTGGGCCCGTCACATCAAGTTCACAAGAAGATCAGTAACTCTGACATTGATGTGTCACTCGTGCAGCAAAACGTAGTGACGGAAATAGAAGCATTACCTGGGAGAGTCAGACCACTGATTCTACAAGATAAGTAAAGCTGGTACTCCTGTCACCCCCACTTGCCATTGTTCCATTTCCAAATTTTACCATAAGCCATCTTCAGTACTCCTGGAGCTTTAAAAAGCTGTGAAACAATGGGCCAAGCTCATCTTTGGTGTCAATCCAGTGGTCTCAATTTTTTATTATTTTTCAGACTTTCTTAGGGCACCAATGACCATATTAGCTGAGCACCACACAAACTCTGACTGAAATATCTTCACAAAACTTGTAACCCATGGGAATGTGAGACATGGAAGGTGACTGTGCTGAGGTCACATAAGGAAAACCCTGTTGAGCCTCATTCATTTCAGTAACTGAGAGCAGAATTTGGCCTACTCATTTCTGCTTACCTCTGGGCAAGGGACCAAGTCTCCTTCTCAATTCAATAATCTTGACTAGTGCTTGAAACTTGGCAGCAGACTCCCCTGTTCTCCTCCCCCCTCCACCGTCACTGCTAGAGGCAGTGGAGGGAGGGGGGCAGGTGGCACCACAGAGCTGTTGCTGGGGGGAACCGTCTTTTAAGCTGGCACCTCCCCCTTGCCCAGCACTGGCTCCTGTTTCCTCCCTCCCCTTGCTGCCTTTCATAGAGCAAGTAGTCAATACTCCAGTCTACTACTCACTAACATCCCTACTGGTGGACTACATCAAGCCAAATAAATCTTTTAATGTGTGTCTGCAAGTTATTTACATCATATTGATTTTATTGTCTAATTTATTATTCAATATTTGTCAGTGGTTGGTATGAAATACAAAGGGCATCTGCAAATTGCTTTGCAAATCCCCAGATGAATCTAGTCTTTTTTAACCCACTTTACAATTTTCTCTCTCACAAATTTTCATGTTATAGAAAGTTCAGTTGGCAAGATAATAATCTACCTATTAAGCAGTCCAGAAAATGCTTTTGGGCACTTGGATCCCAGCTCAACTCTCTATTACATAAGTGCCACTAACTTGGCATGAGCAGGGTATTATTGATGTAACAAATGTAGAACAGAATTTGGCTCTGGGAATTAATTTAACTTGAAACAAGGAAATAAACCTATAGGCTGCGTCTAGACTGGCAAGTTTTTCCGCAAAAGCAAGTGCTTTTGCAGAAAAACTTGCCAGCTGTCTACACTGGCCACTTGAATTTGCGCAAGAACACTGACGATCTAATGTAAGATTGTTCATGTTCTCGCGCAAATATTGTGATGCTCCCGCTCAGGAATAAGCCCTCTTGTGCAAATGCTTTTGCAAAAGAGGGCCAGTGTAGACGGGTAAAAACTGTATTGCACAAAAAAGCCCCGATGGCGAAAATGGCGATCGGGGCTGTCTTGTGGAAAACCGTGTCTAGATTGGCACGGATGCTTTTCCGCAAAAAGTGCTTTTGCGCAAAAGCGTCCGTGCCGATCTAGACGCTCTTTTCCGCAAATGCTTTTAACAGAAAAACATTTCAGTTAAAAGCATTTGCGGAAAATCATGCCAGTCTAGACGCAGCCATAGTGTTTAGTCCTTTTATGATCACATTATTTTTACAGAGACTGAAACAGGCACTATTGAAAGTCTGTTCCATTTACTTTGTGTTTACTCAATATAGCTACTATATGTATATATGATAGAAAGCATTCTTCAGCTCACCATTGTGACTTGTATTTGTAATTTTTATTAGACAATCTTTCTAATAAACCATCCTTGACTTTCAACTTGCCGCTCCTGCACACACACCAACGCGGGCCCCCCGCCAGCTCCTGCAGGCATGCTCTCCTGCCTGGTTTGCCAGCTCCTGCAGGCGTGCTCTGCCACCTGGCTCCGTGCTGCACGGCTCAAGCTCGCCCATGCCAGAGCTACGCCATGTGGCTCCACTCCCGGGGAGGTGCTGCTGCTGTGGCCGACCCAGCAGGCTGCCCCCACCAGTTCCTGCAGGTGTGCACAACAATCTTTCTAAAAGCGCACCAAAAGACTAAAAATAAAGTTTTGAGCTAGCAATTTAGGAGACAGATTGGATGGCTAACAGTTAGCAACTACCTTAGCCATCCAATCTGTCTCCTAAATTGCTAGCTCAAAACTTTTTTTATTATCTATTTTTAGTCTTTTGGTGTGCTTTTAGAAAGATTGTCTTTTTAAAGTTTTTTTTTAATATATTTTTTCAAAGATATAATTAAACTTCAGCTGGTTGAAGCAGGCCTGGTTGAGTGTCTACTTGAGATTGTCCAGAAGACTGTAGACAGCGACAAAGAGGATGACATAGCTGAGCTTAAAACAGCCTCTGATCTTATGGTTTTACTACTACTTGGGGGTGAGTACAGAATCTTAGTATATTTTTTGTAACGCAGCGGAGGATACCTGTGTCGTACTTTGAAGTTTAATTTTACCTGTAATATATACAACACATTTTTAAAAATTATTTAAAGGACTTGCTAGTAGGGATGTAAAATCCCATTTAATTGGTTAACCGGTTAAAGAGGGATGGGACGGAGGATGCCACTGGGCTGGAGAGGCCCCTTTGCCAGGAGCAGCCTTCTGCCCATTAACTGGTAAGCCTTACCCTAAACTAGTTAAACATTCACATCCCTACTTGTTAGCTAGTCAGTCAATGGGCCAGAATGTTGAACTCTTACAGTGCTGTGTATCTAGAGCAAACCTAGTAAATTCAATAGGGTTACACAGCGATAACACTGGGACGCATTTGGACTAATATTAACATTCACATTCCATTTGCTTGTTGAGACTTTCTACGCTTTTTTGCCTCCAGATGAATCCATGCAAAAGTTATTTGAAGGAGGAAAAGGCAGCGTCTTCCAAAGGGTGCTTTCATGGATTCCTTCCAACAACCATCAGCTACAGCTTGCAGGAGCGCTGGCTATTGCAAATTTTGCCAGAAATGGTAAGAATATGCTAGAACAGCTTGGCTACGTCTACACTGGCCCCTTTTCCGGAAGGGGCATGTAAATTTCAGCAGTCGTCGTAGGGAAATCCGCGGGGGATTTAAATATCCCCCGCGGCATTTAAATAAAAATGTCCGCCGCTTTTTTCCGGTTTTTAAAAAAGCCGGAAAAGAGCGTCTACACTGGCCCCGATCCTCCGGAAAAAGTGCCCTTTTCCGGAGGGTCTTATTCCTACTTTGAAGGAATAAGTAGGTCTTATTCCTACACTTTGAAGTAGGAATAAGACCCTCCGGAATATATGTAAATATTTTAAGATTTAGTGTGAGCATACAAATGACTCGTTTTGTCCTGCATAGATGGAAACTGCATCCATATGGTGGATTGTTTGTCTATTTGCCCCCTTTTAATGTGCTGTTTCTGTATAACTATGAATCAAGCATGTTGGGATGGGATTCTCTAATTTGGTTCATCAGTAGTTTTGCACACCTTTTCTGGATTTTGGAGATTTATCAGCCTTACTTTAGAATTGTTTTTTCTACACTGAAGAACATGCCTAAAGAATCATTACCACTTAAGTAATATTTCAACTCTAGCAATGTTTACTCAGTCCACATATATATTCGTACTACTTGATTTTTGGAATTTTACTTCCTGCTCTATTTTCCATTCCTTTACTGTAAATTAATAATTGTTCCTGTGATCGAAGTTGACACTGGTGGTCAACTCAATGGTAAAATTTTGGAAAGGGAAAGAAATTACACTTTTGTACAGAGAAGATTTTGTAAATATTTTAAGATTTAGTGTGAGCATACAAATGACTCGTTTTGTCCTGCATAGATGGAAACTGCATCCATATGGTGGATAATGGGATAGTTCAAAAGCTGATGGATCTCCTAGACAGGCATGTGGAAGATGGAAATGTAACTGTACAGCATGCGGCACTGAGTGCACTCAGAAACCTGGCTATTCCTGGTAAGACTTATGTTGCACTGCTAATTTCTGAGGGATGATTTAAGAGGTTGGACACTCCCTGCAAGCTACCTCACTATGCTGATTCCACAGAGTAATAGGGCAGGGGAAGAAGATTCCGTTCCTATTTTCTACATAAATTGACTCTGGTATTCAGCCCGAGATATTCATGCTCAGCCCTGGGAATTAGATTTATGAATAAGAACAAATTATTTCAAATTTGCATTGTGCCTAGGTAACCATAAAATTATATACATACATATATATATAGAGAGAGAGAGAGAGAGAGAGCGCGCGAGCGAGCGAGTTTGTGTATGTGTGCTCACAATGTATACATCACTATGCTATTTTTCAGTGCTTGTGGAAAAGCAGCTCCTGGACTGTCTTGGAATTGACTGTGTTATATAGTTTACATGTATCAAAAATGTTTCTTGAGATAATTTCTGTTGTTTATTCATGTAGTTGTAAATAAGTCTAAGATGCTATCAGCTGGCGTTGCAGAAGCAGTACTGAAATTTCTCAGATCTGAGATGCCCCCTGTTCAGTTCAAGCTCCTGGGAACATTAAGAATGTTAATAGATGCACAAGGTAAAAATAAGCAGTTCTTTATGTTATATGAGTCTTTCTCTGATTTAATCTGCTGTTAATGCTCTTCTCGAAGTAAAAGGTTATTTTCCTTAAGTTTTAGAATAAATTAAATAGTAAGCAAAATGAGAAACATGGGCTGATTTCAAAATTTCTGAACTGACTACCATGAACAATCAGAACACTTTTCAAACTTTTTTAATTTTCTATTTCAGCATTCCTCTAAACTGGCATTTTATGAATATTTATCTAACTGCAGGTGTTTTGACCTAAGCTGCCACTCATGTTGAGCTATTTGGTTTCCAGTTTTCTATACCTCCTCTGCATCTAGCACCCTTGAATGAGCTAATGCATTTAATAATTGATAATCTGCCATTTCAAACTAAATTAATGTCTTGTAATTTGCAGCCATCACTGAGTGGTTAGAACCATGGTAAACAAAGTGGCAAACTACAGAAGGCAATACAGAGTCTCTCTGACTCTTTGGTCATTTCTTTCATTTTAAATTCCAAACATATTTTGAAATTGTTTTATCAAATTGCTTCCAGCACCTTCAACCAGAGTTTGTGAATGCTAGCCCTTATAAAATTCACTAGGGACTTGAAACTAAAATACATGCCTAATTTCCATTATTTACATTCTTATACCCAAAAGCAATGTGGGACATAATGATGTCTTTCTGAATATACCATAGCAAATCTATAAAAGTGTAAGACAGCCTTACTAATAATCTGCACAATCCTGCACTGAGTGCAGATTTGCAGCACAGATTGGCAAGATCTGGAAATCAGGTCATCAAGAGGCACATCAAACTACAGTGAAACTCCAACTGTCTGGCATCCAGTGGTCCAGAACTCCCAATAGTCCGGCACCAATTGGAACCCGGAAGTACTCCGGCCAGCTGGAAAATTGGAGCTGCTGTGAGCCCCATGGGCACTTGTGGCTGGTAAAGGGAAGAGGAGAAGAGGGGAAGGGGATTATCCGCACTGCATCCGGCCGGGAGGTGGGCGAAGAACGGCACGGCGAGGGGCGAACCCTCCACTGTTTTGCAGGAAGACGGGGGAAGCCCCGCGCTGCCACCGAGAGTTTCCGGGAGGCGAGGGGAGCGGGCTCCCCACCCTCCAGACTGCAGTAGTTATCCCCGAGCAGGGGGGTGAGGGGCAGCGCTGTGGGACCAACCCAGCAGCACCTCAGCTGCTCTGCTCCTCACCGCTTCCTCAAGCCTGCCGCTGCCGCTGCTGAAACTAATGAGTGGCAGACTTGAGCAAGCTGCGGAGCAGAGCAGCTGGGGTGCTGCCATGTTGGTCCCGCAGCACTGCCCCTCACCCCCCCGCTCCACGCCCAGCCTAGGCCCAAACCGGAAGCACCCCAGCGGCTCTGCTCTGCTGCTTGTCCACCGCTTGTCAGTTTCAGCAGTGGCAGCAGCGGACTTGGGAAAGCGGCGGAGCAGAGCAACTGGGGTGCTACTGGGTTGGACCCGCAGCACCGCCCCTCAGCCCCCTGCTCGGCGATAACTACTGCAGTCTGGGGGGTGGGGAGCCTGCTCCCCTCCCAGAAACTCTCTGCAGCAGCGCAGGGCTTCCCCGACTTTCTGCAAAATGGAGGAGGATTCGTCCCTCACCGCGCCATTCCCTGCCCACCCCCCAGATGCAGTGCAGGCCCTGGCAGACCCGTCACAGCCCCCCCGCCGGAGTGCCTCCCAATACTCCGGCATATCCGATAATCCGGCACCACCTAGGTCCCAAAGGTGCTGGATTATCGGAAGTCTACTGTACTTTGCGAATCTGTGGGGAAATGCTGTATCACTTCTGAATCCATTTGTGGTGCTTAGTGCCATCCTGAGACAGGACATGGGCACATAATGTGCTTCCCCATCTCTGTTTTACCTGGCTCCTGCTCCCACAGATGCTGTTGAGGGACCAGGTTCTCCACTGCTCCCCATGCCTTGTTAAAGGCTGCAGGAGTGAAGAAACTAAATGGTAGAGAGGAAGAGAACACTGAAGGCTTTAGAACAGTGCCCCCCTCCTTTCAGAGGCAGACCCACTTCCTCTGTACTCTGTGTGTCACTAAGGACAGCGGTGAAGGTGAATATCGTGTTCTGAGCTGAGGGGAGATAAGACAACTGCCAGTTCTGTTGCTCCTTTTTTCCTTCCAGTGAAGGAAGAGCATGGTCCTATCATCTTCAGAACAGAGCCAATCATATCCACCTTTATTTTCACTTGTTCCCCTCAAAGGAGTCTTTTAGAATATCAAATAGGAGAACAGAGATTATATTATTACCTTTGTATTTGGCAATTGTGTCCGTGTGTTTGGATGAATATTGGAAAATTGGAGTAGGTGGATAAAAGAGCCATAGGCATGATTAAGCATTGGGAAAACAAGGAGCTCAATCTATTTCACTTGGCAGTAAACAAGATTAAAGGGTGATTTGATCAAAGCCTATAAGTGTAGACATGTGAGACAAAAAAAATGATATAGAGGGTTCTTCATTGCACTAGACAAAGGTATAACAAGAGCCAATGGCTAGAATTTGAAGCTATGCAAATTCAGACTGGGAATAAAGGTGTGTATTTTTAACAGAGAGGGATTAGCCATTGGAACAACTTACCAATGGGGGAAGTTGGGGGAATTCACCAGCACTTGAAATGTTTAAATCAACATTAGATGTTTTTTCTAAAAAACACCTGTTGTAGTGCAGTCACAGCTATGGGAATTGAAAAAAAAATTAATTCAGGAAAGTCCTAGGGCCTGTTTTATGCGGGAGGCCAGATAATTTATCACAGTGGTCCTTCTGGCCTTAAAAATCTATAGATCCATGAACTGGCTCACAAGGAGTGTGATGTCACCTTTCTTTTCTCAACAATCCACAAACCTCAATTGTCACAATTTTGCAAGTTTTAAATTTCATCTAGGAAAAAAGAAAAAAAATGTGCCAGGAAAATTCTTTGTGAAAATCTCTTCCACCCTGATTTTTTTTTATTTAATTTAATTTAATTAATTATTTTTTGTTACCAATTTTGCTCACTGATGCAAACTGAGACTTTCCCTCAATTAGCTCTAAATAACAATATTCTTCTTTGGGACTTTTCTTCCTCTTAGAAACTTTCCTCTCTGAGAGATGCTGACAACTGACAGCCTTGTTTTATTTTGGCTTTTATCATATGTAGCAGAAGCTGCTGAACAGCTGGGAAAGAATGTGAAATTGGTTGAACGGTTGGTGGAATGGTGTGAAGCCAAGGATCATGCAGGAGTGATGGGGGAGTCAAACAGACTGCTTTCTGCACTTATACGACATAGCAAATCAAAAGTAAGTGACTGGTGAAAAAATTCATTTCACATAGAGAGTCTTAAAAAAACCAAGTCAGGCCATGCTCTATATTTTCAGCTTAGAAATGCAGGCCTTGACTGGCTGCAATGAGCTCTGCACGAATGCCGTCTGTGCCTGTTCTGAGCCTCAGACACATCAAGGAGAGTCCACCCAAGCATAGTAGCTTGCAGAACTACCCAGTCACATTGCTAAATATGGCCATGTCTCAGAACCGTGACAGGTGGAATGGGTCATCTATATGAGTCCCACTCAGATTCCTCGTGATTTAAGTCCCCCTTTGATGGCTGTTTGAAATAAGCCAACAGCCCGTCTCCAGTTTCCATTGGAAAGCGGCTCATGTACCAAAATCCATCACTACATGGCTTCATTCATCTTTGTTGATATTTTCAGAAGAGAGGCCAAAGATTTACCTCTCATCTCCTAGAGATGATCCCATCAGTTAGGGTTAAGCCATATTGGTGAGATAATTCCTGTGCTGTACCTCTACCGGGTGACAATACAAGACTTCTGGCTCCAGGGGGACTGTCAATCAGACACGAGCATCAAGCTGAATATAAATGCTAATTATTTGATTTAAAAACACTTTGTTTCAAAAATACAAAGCTTGCTATAGGGGTACTGTCTAAGACAGAAAGCCCAAATGTTGACCTACTTGTATTTATACTTATGGATGCCAGTGAGATACATTTTGCTTTGAATTACAAATGTAAATCCAGAATAACTCCATTCACTATCAGTGACTTTATTTTCAGATTTACACCTGCATAAAATATCAGAAAGAATCTGAACCCCAGCTTTTATAAAAAGCATTTTAATGTTATTCTCTATCAGGCTGGTGCTTTCAGGGGGTTGTTCAAATATAAGCATTTTCTTACAAAGGTCTACTCATGAATACTTGGGGACTACATCTAGACTGGCCAGTTTTTCCGGAAAATTAGCCGCTTTTCCGGAAAAACTTGGCAGCAGTCTACACTGTCCGCTTGAATTTCTGCAAAAGCACTGACTTCCTACTGTAAGAAATCAGTGCTTCTTGCGGAAATACTATGCTGCTCCCATTCAGGCAAAAGTCCTTTTGCGCAAAAGGGCCAGTGTAGACAGCTGAGATTTGTTTTGTGCAAAAAAGCCCCGATCGCGAAAATGATGATCCAGGCTTTTTTGCGGAAAAGCGCGTCTAGATTGGCACGGATGCTTTTCCGCAAAAAGTGTTTTGTGGAAAAGCATCCATGCCAATCTAGATGTTCTTTTCCGAAAATGCTTTAATGGAAAACTTTTCCGTTAAAAGCCTTTCCGGAAAATCATGCCAGTCTAGACGTAGCCAAGGTATAAAGGGAATACTAGCTGTCTGTCAATGCACTTCTAGCACATTACACAGAGTTTATACAAAATACATGAAAGACCAAAGCCAGCAGTCCTTGCTCATCCATGTAGTCATATTGGACCAAGTACAGTTCTAAGATTAGCAGGTGAAACTCCTAATGCAACCACTGGGAGTAAGTAGTTCCTCCTTATGCCAGGCCTGTATTTCACACAAGTAATCAGATTGAATCAATAGCTAAGTGTGCACTGCAGGGTCAAGCTGGACAAAGGGAAATGTGATCTGAGAAATACAGTCACAAGTAATGAATGACCTGATCTGCGAATGGCACTGCAAAGTGAAACCAACGTGCATTGTGGGCCTGATCCAGAATGATGCTGATATTACTCAGCTCCCATTTAAGTCAGTGGAATCTATGGGATACTTACCCTTTCACACCATAGGTTTCTATTCAGGGGGTAGTGAAATATTTCTCTTATTTTCCCTGCCTATCGTATGGTTTGTGTTCAGCCTCTGAAATCAATCAGTATTAATTTCCCAGAGTTCTAGCTTTTATTTCTTGCTGTCCACAAGTCACGGGTGCATGTGGTAAATTGAATTCTGCTGCTATTTTAAGAAACAATGGGAGTAGAGATGTGAGTTTTTTTACCAGACTGTGACAGGGTGACAGCATTCAAAATTGTAAAGATACTAATACAGTGGACTTCCAAAAATCCGGCACCCTTGGGACCCAGGGACTGCTGGATTATCGGATATGCCGGAGTATAGGGAGGTACTCCGACGGGGTGCTGTGACAGATCTGCCGGGACCTGCACTGCGGGGACGGGTTGGCAGTGAACGGCGCGGGGAGGAGCGAACCCTCCGCAGTGTTGCAGGGAGGCGGTGGAAGCCCCGAGCAGCTGGCTTGTAAGCGGGGAAACTTGTAAGCAGCGGTGGCGGAGAGAGGGCGAGAGGCAGGCAGCGTTCCCCGCTGACCCCCGCCTGCCTTACACAGCTGCCTGCCTCTAGCCTCCTCTCCGCTGCCACTGCCGCCGCTTGCAAGCGGGCTGTGCGTGGCTTCCACTCCCTCCCCGCACCACCGCCTATCAAGTGGGTCTCCCCGAGCTGCCAGCTATGCAGACCATTCACGTTCTGTGTCTAGACCTCCACCGTTTCTCGCCATTTTGAAAACATTGCTGTAATCTTCTACTGAAATTGGAGTGACTTAGAGCCCAAGTTCCATTTTCAAAAATAACTCTGAGCCTAAGGGCTCTTTTGAAAATGTCACCTTCTTCTGTAGGTGCTTGAATTTAAAATGTGTTTACTGTACTTTTTTTTTTTTAAAGAGCTAGACAGCTATGTCAACATCCATACCTAGAGGGCAGTGCAAGTACAAAATTAAAGAAGAGTAAACTATCATTTTCCCAGTATGTTGATGGAGACATTCTTTGAGCCTCTAAAAGCTCAGAGAGATTCTTCTGCACTGAGTGATTTTTTTGCTGATTTCTGTTAATACAAACATTAGCTGTTCCATGCTAGTACAGTAAAACTCCAAGGCTACATCTACACTGGCCCCTTTTCTGAAAGAGGCATGTTAATTTCACAGGTCGTAATAGGGAAATCCGCGGGGGATATTTAAATCCCCCGCGGATTTCCCTATTACGACCTGTGAAATTAACATGCCTCTTTCAGAAAAGGGGCCAGTGTAGATGTAGCCTTGGAGTTTTACTGTACTAGCATGGAACAGCTAATGTTTGTATTAACAGAAATCAGCAAAAAAATCACTCAGTGCAGAAGAATCTCTCTGAGCTTTTAGAGGCTCAAAGAATGTCTCCATCAACATACTGGGAAAATGATAGTTTACTCTTCTTTAATTTTGTACTTGCACTGCCCTCTAGGTATGGATGTTGACATAGCTGTCTAGCTCTTTAAAAAAAAAAAAGTACAGTAAACACATTTTAAATTCAAGCACCTACAGAAGAAGGTGACATTTTCAAAAGAGCCCTTAGGCTCAGAGTTATTTTTGAAAATGGAACTTGGGCTCTAAGTCACTCCAATTTCAGTAGAAGATTACAGCAATGTTTTCAAAATGGCGAGAAACGGTGGAGGTCTAGACACAGAACGTGAATGGTCTGCATAGCTGGCAGCTCGGGGAGACCCACTTGATACCTCGTTTTATAATATATGTTAGTTCAGAGTGTTAATAAGGGTTCGATCCTGTGAATTCCTGAGCACCTCCAGCAAGAGGTTCTTGGTGTCAATTTCCAATTAATTCAGCAGAAGCTGAAGGCATTCAGAGCTTTGGAGGTGGTCCTCAGCATCTAGAGGAGAGGAGTCTACTTAGAAAGGTTTTGTTGCAAGCAAAAGAAAGAGAACAATTTTTACATGTTTATGTGCATTATGTTATTCAAAATTAAGTGAAGAGCTTTTTGGCTGTGAATTTCTTAAGCAATCAGGACAGAGATTAACTTCGTCCCAAGATTAACCTTCTTTCCATCCAGTTGGGAGTTAAAAAATGTAAAGGTTAAACATGATTATCTAAAGACATTTTGAGGTTCTATGCTCACCCTTGTATTTTTTTTTTGTTTGTTTTCCTTGCGCACAAAATCCAATTGCAATAGTCTATGCAAGCACTGGAACACAAATCATTCTAAGCAAGTGGCTCAATTAGTGGTCATTGTCTTTTGGCTGGAGTTAAAAAGGGGAGCAGAGAAGGATATATTGTATTGCATCTCCTTGACATTGCATTTCACATCATCATCATCATATTATTGAGAGCACTGAAATAACTCATCGGATTTTCATTTAAAAGGCCAGGCCACATTTTCATACCATGGTGCTTAATTTGCACCTGCAAAACATGCACAAAAATACATTTGCCTGTGTAACTATCTTTTAGCATACACAGTTATCTGATTTTCGGGCATGTATTTTGCATATGCAAGTTACATTTAGAAGTGAGAACTGACATATAATGTAGTATCTCGTTTAAACAGCTTCTTTCCTCCCCTTACTCTCATTTGTAACACCTCCTCAGATTGAAAGTAAATTGATTAGTGTTTGCTCCAGGGGAGGCACATACCAGTGTGAGGTCTGTAGGTGAAAAAAGTCTATTTAAAAAATTAATCAAATAGATAAAGAATTCAGAGGCCTTCATCCATCATTATTACAAATACAAGTAAAATTTTGGACTTAAAAAGCTTGACACAGTTCCTTTAAATATCTAGCATTTAACCAAGATAACATTTTTGTTTCCTAAGTCATGGACAACAAGAAAAATACTGTAATGCTTGTTTTAGAACAAAAATAATACATCAGTCTTCTGTAATGGCTCCTTATGGTCTCATATTTGTTACCAGTTTTGAGAGAGCACTATTCATTTCCTGCCTACATACTTTGTTTTTCACATTTTCCTAGTCTATGATTTCAATTATTAAGTACATTGGAATACAGAACAACCTCTCATCTCCAGAGGTCGTGAGGGTCTTCCCAAAATCTGAGGACAAGAGGTATTTTGGATGATGGGGGACAAAAGCCAACTGACGAGAGTCATTCTGGATCTCCATAACCTGAGCACAGAAAAGGGATGCTGAACAGCTTCAAACAAGGCTGTCATCTGGCTTTTGACACCACAGGATAGTGACGGGAAAGCTAGTTGTCTTTGCAGATGGAGCTCAGGGTTAGCTGAGGATAGTCCCTTTTGAATGAATTGGTCTGCAAAGCACAATAGCATTTCCCCCAGTGTAACCTAGTAGAGGGGTGGGCAACAAACAAAACCAAAAGTTTGAATTAAGCAATAATTTGGTTTTTATTTTATAAATACCCAGTGATTATGTAATGTAACCAGGTATGTCTTATAATATGTATAAATGCATATATCAGCAGCTCTCAACCATCCCAGGCTACTATACCCCTTTCAAGAGTCTGATTTCTTTTGCATACCCCAAGTTTCACCTCTCAAACTACTTGCTTACAAAATCAGACATACAATTGTGAAAGTGGCACAGCCACAGTTACTGAAAAATTGCTTACCTTCTCATTTTGACCATATAATTAAAAATAAATCAACTAGAACAGGGGTGGGGCCAACCTGTGGCTCTTCTGAAGTTAATATGCGGCTCCTTGCTCTGGGGCTGTAGCTACATCTGCCAAATTTCCAGTGCTCAACTCCTGGCTCCACCACTTCCTTGAAGCGTATTGCACCCTCGCTCCTTCCTTTCTTCACACAGAGCCTGCTGAGTGCCATGAAACAGCTGACTGCACTGGGCAGGAAGCATGGAAAAAGAGGAGGAGGCACTGATTGGTGGGGCTGCTGGTGGGCAAAAGATTCTGAAGAGTGGAGAAGAGGCACCTGATGAGGAGTGCTGATAAATTACTGTCGCTCTTTGGCAATGTACATTGGTAAACTGTGGCTTGCTCTCAGGATCAGGTTGGCCACACCTGAACTAGAATATAAATATTCCAGTGTATAGTATATACAACAGTATAAATAAGTCAGTATCTGTATGACATTGTAGTTTGTACTGTCTTTGTTAGTGCTTTTTATCTAATTAATTTTAAAACTATGCAGTTATTGAAATAAGTTGGTGTACCCCTTGGAAGACCTCTGCACAATAAGGGGTACGTATACCTCTGGTTGAGAACCGCTGGAAGTACTTGCAGAATACATCAGAACTCAGTTATTCAATACTGGTCATACGTAATGCAAACTTTTTTCAGTCCCATTCTTTTTATTTATTTTAGGATGTAATTAGGACTATTGTTCAGAGTGGTGGCATCAAGCATTTAGCTACCATGGCAACAAGTGAACATGTAATAATGCAGAACGAAGCTCTTGTTGCTCTGGCACTAATAGCAGCATTAGAATTAGGTGAGTATCCTGATGGTCGGTTCTTATTTCCCCTATAGCCAGTGCTCAAGAGAATCTTGGGGTGGAAAATCCAAGCAGAAGTGAGTTTTGTGAGCAGAACTATATGGGATCCTGCAGAAATCTACCAGTGAAGACCTTAACTTTCATGAGATTGGGATTCTTTGTTAATATATACCTATATGGGCAAAACCAGGATCTTAGCTAGAGCTAACAAGGGCTCTTTTACACGATGATAATGATACATGATAGCAGTTTTTAAGTATCCAAAAGGGTATTACAAGGAGGAAGAAAAATGGTTCTCCTTGGCCTCTGATGATAGGAGAAGCAGCAATGGGCTTAAATTGCAGTAAGGGGGGTTTAGGTTGGACATTAGGAAAAGCTTTCGAACTGTCAAGGTGGTGAAGCATTGGAATAAACTGCCTAGGGAGGTTGTGTACTCTTCATCACTGGAGATATTTAAGACTCAGAGATGATAAGCATGAAACCCCCAGATATCACACTTTTAATTACATCTCAGACTGGAGACATGATCAACCATGGGATTTAAAAAAAATTGATGTAGCCTAGTAAGGAAGCTAATCTAGAAAAAGGGCTTACATAGGACCTAGCACTAGCTGTGTTCAAATGGAGACATTCTAACTCAGTATAGTGAGAACTGCTGCGCTAGGTGCTGATACAATCCAAGGGAAGCTAGTAAAATGCTGGGTGCTCCACAAATAATGTCTCTAACTAGTTTTATTAAATGTCTCAGCAACAAAAATAGGGTTTTGATCATATCAGTATAAAAATCGTGTATTTTTAAATGCCATGGCCTGTGTTTTTAATACCTTAACATTTGCTAAAGAAAGAAAGAATTGATTTTCTGTTCTACCATTTTTCCTGCTTGGTTGCTCTTCATACTTCACTGATCTTGGACAATAGAACTAGACTGTTCAACATTCCTTACTTTTGCGGTCAGTTTCCTCTATTGTTCTCTTACACTAGCAGAATGCTGTTGTGTTCTGCTTCCAAAACATGGCAAAAGACGCATGAGCTATAAAAACAAAATTAATTGCATTAAAAACATTAAGAAGAAAATATGTCTATTAATTTTGGTCTATTAATCCCTCCTCTTTGTCTTCAAACCATTACATTTTGGGCTTAAACTAAGTTGACAGTGTCCCCTTAAAAACTTAGCCCAAATCAGGTACTCCTTACTCAGGTTCTGATCCTACTAATTATTGAGCATTCTGAATAAGTGCTGAGAAACCCCAGTTCCCTTTTGCCTTTTGATTTCAGAGATCACACCTTCAGCTTTTATTCTCTCGAATGTGTGTGTCTATGTATATGTAAATAATATTTCAGTACATTACCAAATGTGCAGCAGAAATGACTAATGATGTTCTTGGATTTACAACTTTCACTTATTTATGTTGTAGTCACTGCTGAGAAGGACCTCGAAAATGCTAAACTAGTTCAGATTCTACACAGACTGCTCTCAGATGAGAGGAGTGCTCCAGAAATCAAGTACAACTCCATGGTGTTGATTTGTGCTCTCATGGCATCTGGTGAGTATTTACAAGGTGCTGATTTGTTCTGCTTCTCTCTCTCTGTCTCTGCCCTCAACCTTTAACGACTAAACACTTTTTCAGCTTGGACTTGGATCCTCTACTATATACACTGGGCTCAATTCTCTACTCACACTAGTTTTACATAGACATAACTCCACCCACTATAGTGCAGTCACTCCTGGTATATAGTGCTGAGAGAAGGAAATCCGCCCTACCTGTGTACAGAAGGCTGAATAATAACTCAATTTTAGATGATAGAGTATTTTTGCATGATAAGTCATATGTAATAACAACAACTCTGACTACAGCTCCTGCATGGTGCAGAATTCTAGCTTCCAGACTTCAGTGGGCACTTAGCGCTTTAGCATATCTGTGCAGATACATAAACACATAGCACCGAGTTTAAGTAAACTCCCTGTTTGCTATCATTTGCACACAGAGGGTATGTCTAGACTATATGCCTCTGTCACCAGAGGCATGTAAATTAGACTACCCGACATAGTCAATGAAGCGGGGATTTAAATATCCCCGGCTTCATTAAAATAAAAATGGCTGCTGCGCTGTGCTGGCTCAGCTGATGGTTGTTTCACAAGGCATAAGGGAGCGGTCGACAAAGGGTTTCCTGTCAACCGATCCGTGTCTTAACTGCTGAGCTGTGCTGACGATCAGCTGAGACGGCACAACGCGGCGGCCATTTTTATTTTAATGAAGCCGGGGATATTTAAATCCCCGCTTCATTGACTATGTCGGGTAGTCTAATTTACATGCCTCTGGTGACAGAGGCATGTAGTCTAGACATACTCTTAGGTTTTCACTCTCAATAACACAGTAAAGTTAGGGCTGGTTTCTCCTCCCTTTTTGCCCCCCTCTCTCCCCTCAAGGAATCTCTTTATTTTTGTTTTAAATGTAAAAGAAAGCTAGAAAATGGACAGAGAAAATAAAAAGGATAAATGGAAATGAGTGAGAAAAGAAACAAGCACTGCTAACGTACTTAAAATGGAGAGTCACACGCAGTTCTTTGCTTCGGGAGGCCTTAACTGCTTGTGCCCAGCTTTCTGACCCACTTTACTCTAGGGCATTCTGCAAAGGTGAACAAAACCTAGTCTAACATTCCTTGCTAACATGCCACCTTTAAACTCTTTAGAAATTTAAAATTATTGAGCCAGTTTCCTTCGAACTTTAGATGATTTGGACTTTCAACTTTCAGCCTTTTAAGGAAGAGCACAGATCAACACAAAAGCACTCTCACCACCAACCACGCACCCCACAATAGAAACACTAACCCAGGAACCAATCTCTACAACAAATCCTGTCCACATATCTCCCCTAGACACACAGGCTGTGTCTAGACTGGCTGCTTGAATTTCCGCAAAAGCACTGACGATCTCATGTAAGATTGTCAGTGCTTTTGGGGAAATAATATGCTGCTCCCGTTCGGGCAAAAGTCTTTTTCCAAAAAACTTTTGCACAAAAGGGCCAGTGTAGACAGCAGAGATTTGTTTTCCGGAAAAAAAGCCCCGATCGCGAAAATGGCCATCGGGGCTTTTTTGCGGAAAAGCGCATCTAGATTGGCCATGGATGCTTTTCTGCAAAAAGTGCTTATGCAGAAAAGCATCCTGCCAATCTAGACGTGCTTTTCTGAAAATGCTTTTAACGGAAAAATTTTCCGTTAAAAGCATTTCCGGAAAATCATGCCAGTGTAGACGTAGCCCTTATCTAGGACCTAACTACAGCAGTCGCACCATCAAAGGCTCATTCACCTGCACTTCTACTCATGTGTGATATAGGCCCTCATGTACATTGGATAGACTGGACTGACTCTATGCAATAGAATAAATGGACACATCAGACATCAAGAATGGTAAAATAAATTAAAAAAACAGTGGAAGAACATTTTAAACCCCCTGAACACACAGACTTAAAAGCTGCCATCCTCAAACAAAAGAACTTCAAAAACAGACTAATGTGAAACTTCTGAGCTTATGCAAATTTGACTCCCATCAGAATGGGTCTGAATAGGGATTGCTAACTGCTCTCTCATTACAATAAGTGATTTTCCACTTTAAGTAGTCTCACCTTCTTGTCCATATCCACCCTGACTGAATTAGCTCAGGTATAACACTCCTTTCTCTGTTTCTTTTTCTTTCACTTCATGCATCTGACAAAATGAGGTACAATACATGAAAATTCACTACTGAAAGGTTGCAGACAAATAGGAGAGAGGCCAGCAGAGGGCAACAAGAATAAGTAGGGGGCTGGAGAACGTGACTTGTGAGGAGAGGCTGAGGGAACTGGTTTTATTTAATCTACAGAGGAGAAGAATGAGGGGAGATTTGATAGCAGCCTTCAACTACCTGAAAGAGGTGGGAGCGTTCCCCAAGAGGACATAGCCAGGTTATTCTCAGTGGTGGCAGATGACAGAACAAAGAGTACTAGTCTCAAGTTGCAGTGGGGAAGGTTTAGGTTGGCTATTAGTTTTTTCCTACTTCACTAGGAGGGTGGGGAAGCACTGGAATGGGTTACCTAGAGAGGTGGTGGAATCTCCACCCTTAGAGGCTTGTAAGACCAGGCTTGACTAAGCCCTGGCTGGAATGTGTTAGTTGGAGTTGGTCCTGCTTTGATCACAGAGTTGACCTAGGTGAGCTTCTGAGATCTCTTCCACTCCTAATCATCTAAGATGTTTGAGAGTCAAGAAGGAGATAATTGATCTACTTACCACCAGCTTCCGTGCTGAAATTCCCACTATTGTGTTTAAATCCAACATTTTTAATCCATTTGGTATTAGTGGTTCTTTGAGTCCCTCTTGGAATGACTTGAAAGCAATTCTCAGGAGCTTCTTTACCTGTCTGTCCATCTTCCACTGGCCCCTTTAGCTGCTGAGTATTGCTTGAGCTACCTGTTTCATACAGTAAGCCCCAGAGTTTTTTCCACCTGTTTGTATTGTTCAGTCCTATGGCTCTTTTCACCAGGTGTTTCTGCGGCTCTCTCCTGCTCTAAAATAAGGAGATGAGATCTTTTAGTCTTACGATTTAAAGAGGTACCCCACTTTTGGACTTGTAGCCTGCTGTTAACCGCAAACATAGAAAATGTCTCTTCTTCCCCCCTTCTACCAAGTCCTTCCCTTTATGTCTCCAATCCCAGTGTAGATTGTATATTTATGCTTGTAAGTTATGTTGTTTTCTCTGCTGGTGAGTGAAGAAGTTCTTGAAGTGATTTTAAAATAATATACATGTAGAAAGTATCTGTAGCTCAGAACTCTGTAGCTTCTAAGACATGTGAGTTCATAGGGTATCGCTATATTGCATCAGGAAGCGTGCCCTCCACCATGGGCAGACAGAGACACACTACTCCTGCTCAAGCTAGCATGCTCAAAATGGCAGCATGGATTTGAAGCATGGGTAGCACTCTAACCCCCCACCCCACCCCAAATACAGACCCAAGGAATTGGACAGGCTTGTATTCGGGTGACCACAATATCCACCTTGCTATTTTTTAGTGTGCTTTAAGTTTAAACAGAGCTGGCATCCTGGGCTGGGAAGCACACTCCTAGCTGCAGTGGATTGATGGTTTTTTACAATATACATGGGTTCTACAATGGAAGCTTTTGTCACTGTACTTTGTTCTAGTGAAGTGATACTACATTTCACATCTTAGTGCTAGCAATTGCATATTACCAGTTAAATATATATTTCCTGCCAGTTGGGGACTGGTGTTGCAATGGAGTCAGTACATTAAAAGAGAAGAGAATGACTAGAGGAGGAAAAGTAAATGGTGTGACTTAAGGACTTGGGGAAAAAAAACAGCATTCAAACTTAACACAGTCACTGTGTATGAAGACCCTGAGGCTTCTAAGTGTCTGGCTAAACAGAGCTTTTCTGCCAATTGTAACTCAGTGAGTGCCTGAAAGTTGATTTGGTTATACATGGTGTTATCCTGGAGGTAGGAGAAGGACAGAAAAGGCTTACACAGTAGACTAACTCCAGAACTGAAAACAGCTTAATTGAAATTGTTCACAGTATACAAACGTTCTCCGATGCACAGTCTTGACTGTGCTGTCACACAGTAGGGGGTAAAACGTGCAAGATAATTGAAAGCAGGTGAACAGGAAACAAGGAAAGGAAACAAATGTCACAGAAAATTTGCTACAAGGAAAAGGAGCACATACCCTTTGTGTAAAATGTAGCTGATTTGGAACAGAGTTTCACATTTCTCATGAGCAGCCCAAGACTCAGTTTAATTGGCAGCACCTGGGGCAGCAGAAATATATTTGGATCTTGTTGCTGATCTGGAGTCTACCAGAATTTCCTAGCCTGCCTACAAATAAAGCCCAAAGCATATTTAAAAAAAAATATATAGTGCCTACAGTATATAGCCTCCAGCTGTTTCAACAGAACTCATGATGTACTTCAAAAACAAATACTAAGGTTAATGCTATAGGCTTGTGTCACTTCTCCCCACCCTAAGTTACGTGCACAATAATGCACAGAACAATCCATGCTGACATCCTAAAGCAGAAGAAAACAGATTGCTCACCATTTTAGAGGGATTAGGCCATGTGTTAGATTTTTTTTTTAAATGCAGTCGAATATACTTGCAATAATTTTAAAACCACACTGTAAATAATTAACAATAACTAACAATAACTAAGTCATGCAGTGTCAGGGAAAGAACCTCTCTCACACAAGCGCACGCTTCAAACCTAACCATGCAATTTCTTAGGCTTTACGGCAAGCCTGAAGATCACGTCTCTGGCTCTACCAGACTAGGTTAGGGAACGAGTTTGAAGGGTAAGAGGTTTGGGCTAAACATTCTTCCACCAGTAGCCATGCTGAAAGGCATCTGGGGATGGAACTTGATAAATACTGAGCGCTCACCTGAAGTGATACTACATCTGAAGTAAGCGGAGCCTCAACCCATTCCAAAATTAGGGCCCTAGAATTATTTCTGTTGCTATCACTGTGCTCAAAAGCAGTTGTGTCTGTATGCATCTTACTTCTGGGTTCTAGCTAGAATAGGTGCAAGTTCCTCTCTAATAATCCTCTAGACTTTTCTGTGCTCTGACATGAGGATACCTCCTGGGCTCCATTAGTTCTATTACCTCAATTACATGAAGTACAAGAGTCAAACACAAGGAAAGAGCATCTCATTAGCTGCTCTGAGAAAATTTAGCTATGTGCATGGAGATATGGTCTGAGACTGCTGTGTGTGAAACCTTCTTGCTTCTGTTTTCCAGAACCCCTTCACAAGGAAATGCAGAGCCTGGCATTTCTAGAAGTTGTATCCAAACTCCGCAGCCATGAGAACAAAACTGTTGCCCAGCAGGCCTCACTAACAGAGCAGAGACTTGCAGTAGAAAGCTGAGAAAAGTCTCCTGTTCCCACACAGCATCCCATCATGGATTTCACCTTTGTCCTCTGTCCTGCTGCCACTCCTGCTATGTTTTCCACTGTATCACTTGTGCATGCATGTAATGTTCCCACACAAATTGATGAACTGCTGTAGGTACCTGTCCAATAAGGTTTCTAAAATCCATAGGTGGTGTTAACATAAATCTGTCAGAAACAAGTCTCCACCCATAAATGTTCTACTTGTATTCTTGTTGCTTGGGCCACACAGTAGAATGTGCATGTTGTAGTCCTATGCTGAAGTAAAAGTGGTACTACATGACGACTCCTTTCTCTCACCCTGAACTGCATAACAACATACTGCTAACTTAGGGACAATACAGGAGGCAGCAAGTCCAGGCTATAATGTTGATGATGATAGGATTCAATAGTAAATCTAGCTCCATTTTTGGTGCTTTGGAAACATAGGTATGAATGGAACGTGTTGCTGCTCATTTTCACTGGTCTTGCCTAGTAATGTCAAACTCATGGTACCTAGAGGTAACAAATAAAATACCAGTGCTCTCACATTTTACCTTCTGGCTTGTCCTTTTTGTAATTAAATGCAGAATTAATGACTGTAGTATGCATGACGAGAAGCCCATTTTGGGACAGATCTGACCCTCAGGTGATTGAGGCCTTCCATTTAAAAAAGAAATGCAATGGAAACCACCTTAAACCACTAAAATCCATTTTCTTCTCCCCTTGTCGTTAGCATGCACTCTGCAGGGGCGTTGTGTGATTTGGCAGAGTGGTTCTGAGCGAGGGCGCTAGCATTTATGTCGATGTACAATCCTTTTGTGCATCTCCCCCAGTTCTGTTATTCGTAGGCCCTTCAAGGGCCCATGCTGGCCCTATCCCCTTTTCCCCAGATAGTCGCCAGATCTGCCATCTCTGAAGCCACACTCAGTCACTGTTCTCTGCTCTCCAACTTTCCAGGGCCCTTTTTCATTTTCAGGTAGAAGCGAGTAGCTTGGTTTTCTCCTCCACCTGGACTGGATAACCAGTAGTGCAGCGCTGCCTCCCTCCTGAACAGGGCTAAGCCCAAATAGTTCCATCTGCAAGCAATTTCCAACAGACTTCACAGAAGGTGAACTGGGCTCTGCCCCTTCTCAGCCAGCTGCCCCTTGTGCTGCAAGGGCATGGAGATTTCAGTCAGACAAGGGCATTGGGACCCCTAGCCCCCAGCAAGCTGCGACTTGACCACAGGAAAGAGAACCAAACTAGGAGAGTCCACGGTAGAAGTCCTGGGGTAATTCAGGACCATAAGTCCACAGCAGGGCACCTGGTCCTGGCATTGATTGTAAATGCTCAAGAGAAAGCAGCAGGGTTCACAATCAGTTCTCCCTTCCTTCCAGCTTGATTAAGGAAACTCTGGCAGTTGGGCCCATCCTCCATCCTGGGAGGAGCCTATAGGGAAGGATTCCAAGAGAGCAATTTCCAGAGGGCTCAAGGCCCTGCATAAGACTAGCCACAAAGGACCCTCATGGCATAGTCAGGCACCCATGCTTGCAAAATATGCAAAAAAATCCCAACAGGAACAAACACCAATAAGGGTGTGTCTCAACTACACCCCTCTGCCAACTGAGGGATGGAGATTAGGCACTTTGAAAATGCAAATGAGCCTGGGATTTAAATATCCCAGGCTTCATTTGCATACTCACGTTCGGGCCCTTTCGAAAGTGAAAGCAAAGTCTAGCAGTGGCTCTGCCGACAGCGGGGAGCTTGATTTGCATCCCTCTGCCAGCAGAGGGATGCAGTCTAGCCGTAACCTAAGAGAAAACCCCAGTGAAAGAAGTGTCATCAGACTCTGATTCTGAGAAGAATGTAAAGAAAAAGGTAACTTTGTTGAGCAGTTTGAAACCATGCACAAAAAGGCTTCACCTACTATGGAGAGCCAACTTTTAAGCAGGTCTTGAGGACAAAACTTCAAGTAAATACTACCCTGCTAAATCCTCTCCCAAAGCAGCCATTCTCCTGCATGCATCCTTTGAGGAAGTAATCAGGGAGGAGCAGGAAACTCCTGAAAAAAAGGCAGAACACATGAAGAGGCATACACTAAGATTCTATATGATCCAAGAACCAAAAAATGCCATCACTGATATGCCAAAAGGGAATGCTACAATAACATCTTTAGGGTGGGATATGGTTAGTCCATCCACAGGAGACTACTTTCCTAAGTATCCTACAGATAGGAAGGTGGAAGTTATCCTCAGAAGGCACTTTGACGCAACCTCAGCCACGCTCAGAGCATCTCTGGCAACCAGTTCTTTTGTTTAAGTCACAGTCTCATGGCTAGAAGTATGTAAAGCCCCTGGGGGCAGAAAACAAACCGAATAAGTTTATACTGAAGAAAATCTCTCTGGCAACAGCATTCGTGGAAGATGCTTCAATGGACAGTATGTGGTTTTCTGTCATGGACAGGCATCCAGTTCAGTGACTTGAGAACACATATATAGCTTTATCCCTGGAAATTAGACACTTCAGGCAGGACACGTGCACCTTGAAATTCTCATTTCTCCTCTTCAGAGACAAATTGGATATGGTAATGGCTAAAAACTATGGACAACACCAAACAGTTCCTCTACTCTAAAAAGACTAGCAGTTTCTAGTTTTTTCTAGAGCACTATCAAAAAGAGATGCTTTTTCTATCCAATGTCCTCAGAGATCTGACCATCAGAAGGCAGATTCCAGGAGATTCAGAATCTAATATTCACATTGGTCAGATAGAGGAGCCCAACCTCTGCTCAGGAATTTCAGCTCTTCAGCCTCCTGGCCGGGTGTACATGGGCATGATCGCGTATCAGGTGTTTTCAGACGTTTCTTCAGAGAGCATGAGACCACTCCCTGGCAGGGGTGGCCCTAAACTAGCTGCCAGCAACTGGCGCCCTAGGCAAACCATGCAATCGGCACCCCCACCTCCAAACTCCTAAATGATATTGCGCCACCATTTGGCACCCCATTTAACTTGGCGCCCTAGGCAACCACCTAGTTTGCCTATATGGATGGGCCGCCCCTGCTCCCTGGAGTACATGCAACTTCAAGTGCATGCCATGAAACAGGTCTTCCAACTCCCTGAGATTGGGAACAGCCTAGGAAGATGTTTGTAGGGGTCTTTCCAATGTGCTTGCTAGACAGTCGAATTCTCACCGCCACCCGGGTGGCATAACAAACACATCTGCAACCCAAAATGGCACATGGAACCTTGGGGAAAGGAACCACAGCATCAACCTGTTGAGGGTGATCAAACTAGCACTTCTCAGATCCCAGAGCCACATGGAAGGAAGTCCCAATCTTCAAAAGTGACACATACACTTTGCTCTCTTCTAGGAGAACTTCAACACGAGGCCTACTTATCATCTGGACTAAAATTAAGCCTCAGGTCAAGTGCAGAAAACCCCCCAAAGGATTATGGGATTACATTAATTCTGTATTTCCTTCAACAAGCAGTAGATAAGGGATGCTGGCTAAGCACCTTTGTGCCCCCAGGTGTCAGTCCGTAGCAGTGCAATGTTTGCAGAATCTTCACACTACCTGGTTAAGAACCTCAGCGCACTAAACTGGCCAGACAAGCAGTCAGACTCATCTTCCCTAAATGGGCTTCAAAAGCCTAACCGCTCATTCGCCATCAAATCCTGTTTTCCTGTGTTGTTGAGGCAAACAAGGCAGCTGCTGTTCCTGCCCAGAAGGAATCCAAACTCCATATAATCTGTTGCCACTGTGTGGGCCAAAAGAGCATGTGCTTCGGCTGCAGAGCTCTGCAAAGCAGCAGCGGCTAACACTTTATCAGACCTATAGGAAGGAGCTGACTACAATGGAGCAGTAATAACTTTGCTATTTGAGCAATCCAGTACAAGGGAGGGATTTCCCTCCCTTTCTCTGCTTTCTTACCTCCCTCTACTCCAGTTCACTGCTTCCCAGGTATAGCATGACTTTGCGAGACAATGAGCTGCAGAATGAAAAATTTCTTTCTTGATAATCCCCTTTTAACTAGCTGCTTCAACGACAGTTCCACCCACCCTAGATGGCTTGTCAGCTAAAGGTCAATATTTTATTTGGATAAGTCACCATAGTTACTTGGTTGGCATTGGAATTAGTGTTAGTATTTTCTACTACTTTTTACACAGCTTTGAAATGAATCCTGTGGCGACAAACTACAGAGGAGAGAGTGTGGCTGGCACAGGCTGTGCTCCAGTTTTGATATGGGTCTGAGTCTGGATACAGGAAGGAAAAATACTGGTTGAAACGCTGAAATTTGGGACTCTCTGGTCCAGCAATATCCATGGTCTGGTAGAACCCCAGATATTGCTGGACCAGAAAGCCTGCGGGAGCGAAGCCCCCACTGGCAGCAGCAGGTCCAGTGGCCAGAAGCCCAGCTTGGTCTGGCATGGCAGGGAGCGCAGCCCCAGCCGATAGCGGATCCCAGAGGCAAGGCCTAGGAGCAGAGTCCAGTGGCCAGACTCTGACGGCCCAGAGCAGGGCTGACAGCCGGGAGGGAAACCTCGACTTCCCCAGAACTGGTAAACTCCCTGGTTCAGGACCGCTCAGACTCCCAAGACCCGGGAGGTCCAACCAGTAGTCCATGGAGAGTGGAACTGTGGGAGATGCTGCTAGCAGACAGGAAGTCATCTGGTAAGAACTTTCAAAAGGAACTCAGATATAAAAGCTTTTAAAGGCACAGATTTATATAGAGCCTCCTCCAATAGTTGTTCAGAGAGAAGCATATGAAGTACAGAAATGCTATATAAGAGAATTTTAACTGGTCTCTTGTAAGGTTGCCAGTTGACACAGGCTTGCGCATCACAAAGTTCTGAGCCTCACAGCTGTTCTTTGTAACAATGGTAACATGCTAACCAATTATCTGGCTCAATAACAGCTTGCAGAGAAGGGGATGTCATCTTTGCAGGCTTTAGTCTGTTTCTGTTTACCAGGAATTGGATGGACTGGAACAAGCAAGTCCTTTCACGTAGGCCAGCAAACAGTAGTGACTCTTCACTGTGCCTGAATCAAACTGATGACATAAGAATTTATGGATTTTCATACCGAATCAGTTCAGTGATCCAGATAATATGTTCCTGTCTCAGACACTAGCAGCCTATGCTTCAGTGGAAGATGAAAGAAACCGCACAGTGGGCAATTGTACAGTAACATGCCCATAAAAAAAAGTTTCATCCTCGTTCCAGTGAGTTACTAGTTTTTTATACTTCATTAGTGCCTGGGAGCCACAAACAACCACCGGGTCTCCATTTCACTTCTCAGTCTCAGACTTGTGTACGGCTCCCAACTGATTGTTCCTGTGGGTCAACAGCTCCCAACCTAAAACAGGTTCCACACCTCTGCATTAAATCATGTCCACATCATCAGCTGTTGTACTACCTGGGTGTAACAAAAACCCATTGAGAAATCTCTTTCCTTTCAGATATTTTCCATGGATAGAAACATCAACTTGACTTACTTTTTCACATGCAGGTGTCAGCTAGCTCTATGCCGCACACTGGGAGGTGGACTGTATAACTGATGGTGTTAAAAAGGGAG